GTCCCTGAAAATTCGCTTGGACTCGAACGCAATAGCTTCAGCAACTTTTGACTCGTCCGTAAGTTCATGTCTCATAATTCCCATCGTCCATTTGGTAAGGTCACGTGGAGTGAAGATGTAATGACCTAGACAACATCAATGGCCTAAGGGCACAGCTATATCTCCTTATTGAGCTATTAGTCTAAAAAAATTGGTAAAATACTTATGTACAAACTTCTGTCAGCCGTCCGAAAGTTTGCTCGAATCTCTTCATACAAACGGACCATGACTGATGCTGTAGCTTCGATCCGGGCTGAAGATCCAAGTGGTATCTGTGAAAAGATATTGTACCATTGTCTTTTGAGAAAAACTTAGTTTACTTCTAGGATAGGCATGAGATAAGCGGAATAGATAGCATTCAGGTTCTGTTCGGACGGGTAGCCAATCGCCAACATTCTCATCTGCGAAACAAGACGAGGAGGAATTGAGGAGTGCGTTACCGAGGGGGCCATTGAGGCAGTTATCTGAAGAGCAAGGGAAACTAGTTAATGCAGGTATTCTTGAATATCTGGGTACCTGAATATTTTCCAGTCCAATCCAGTCAAGGTGCTCATCATAGTAACCTTGGTAAGTTAGCAGTTGAGTGAGGAAAGCTAACATCTCGTTCGTCCCATACTGAAATACACTATCTAAGCATCATTTAATAACTAGTAATTTGTGGTTCCTGTTTCTCATTTGCTTCGAATGATTTTCATTCCTCTGAAAAACTGGATCATTGAGCATTGAGTAGACGGGTATGTTACCTTATCGGGTGCTGGTAAATTGAGTCCCTTCAAGTAGAGAATCAGCTGAGGCCTATCTTTCGGGCGAAGTACTCTCCCTAAAGCGCTGCTGGTCTGCACGCAGTGTTGCGAAAGACATTGCAGGATTGCAGAAGCACTGGATTATTAGCAAATTAACTTCACTAGAAACCATGTGAGGATTCTTACCGGCTTTGCGCAGTGCAGTGCACAATGGCCAATTGACTATGACTATCCTCAGT